TAACTTGCACATATTGAAAATCATGAAACAATTCAATGTAGCACATAGTATGTAGCAAATCAAAACCTAATAGTTATGCAGTAAGACAATAGTAACACAAACTAATACCATTGCAAATTAGAAAGTTCATAAATAGTTCAAACAGCCTACATGCTTTACGTACTTCCATGTTTTTTCAACCAAAGTCACACCACATCACAAGTCTAGGCCTTGGTGGGTCGGCCAGAAACATAGTTTGATGAGATATCAACGTCCACTTCCCTTTCAAATGCCAGAAACAAAGTTTGATGAGATATCAACGTCTAGGTCTCAGTGGCTTTAGACTTCATCCTCACTCGAATAGTATCCTTGTAGTGCAAAAGGAAGAATTGAAGGACCTCCCTGACTTTGCATTTGCATGAGGAGCTCTTGTATAGCCATACTTTGGTAGGTGATATTTCTCATGTTAGCTGCCATGGTTGCTATCTTTCAGGTGAGTTGAGCAGCTATCCTTATCCCACTGCACCTACGATGGCGGTGGGGTGGTTCCGGCCCATTTGGTCTGCTGCTTGTAGAACTTCTTCATTAGGGTTTTCTCTCCCCCTCCTGGGATGGACATCATGATCTGAACTCATTTTTCTTGGCTAAATTATTAGATTTTTTCTAACTTCTGGGACTTCCACTTGTTCTTTTTCAAGAACAAATCCTTCTTTAAGGAGAATGCCTAGCTATTTTTTGGTAAACTTTTTCTACGGGAATGTTCGTGGTTATAGTGGCATTTCTTACAGATGGAGTCAATCTATTGATCTTGTTTTTTATGTTGTTGAAATGGACAACTGATATCGGGCCCACTTGTGTCCACACAAGCTAATTGTAACACGTATAGACATATTGCTAGTCAATAATTTCTCGATTTGAACATGGGAGAAGCTTGATAACATGAGACAAATATGTTCAAGAGACGACAAGATATATGAGCAAAATTGTACAATAAGGAACGATCAACAAAAAATAAAATTAAAGATCAAGATCAAACATCTAATTTTAGCAACACAAGATCAAACTCGAAATGAGATAATATATAGCTTAAGCATTACCCCCAAGTGACCCAAAGGGGGGGAATATTTATAGTATTATATGTGAATGTGGTGACCATTGGATAAGAGGACACATGACCTCATCTTCTTAACCAAAACATCTTATCTTAGGTATCAATTTTGACCCAACTAGTATGTGACGTATTAAATCTCTCAAAATGGGACAGCTACCCTTTAACCTATGTTGACAAGATTTCGACTTACATTACAAGAGTTACATTAATCATTCCAACAAGATTTCATGAATTTGGGATCTTCAAATGCGGGTCGCCTTTCATTGTGTTGGGACTTCAGCAAAGGGGCTTTGGCAGAGCCTCTTCATAAGGGACCGCTTCAGTGAAAGTGGGTTTCGATGGAGCCACTTCACATTGGACCACTTCGATGAAAGTGGCCTTCGCCAAACCATCTTAACATGGGATAGCTTCGTTGAAAGTAAGCTTTGGCAAAGGCCATGCACATGGGATAGCTTTGGTGAAAGTGGACTTTGGTGCTCCAGATTCAGTGGACCTTGGTGGGTCCTATGCACTTCTCGTGGGATGCCATGTGGCTTCGACGAACTGGCTTTGATGGATTGGCCACATGTGGCAAAGTGTAACAAAGTCATTAATATTTATGCTTAAGCCATTAACTTATACACTATCCGCTCTGATAATTTGAGCCCATCTTACCCCTCGCAAATCTCTATCGCATATCCAAGATTTGACATTTCCTTTTTAAATGACTTAAATTGAATTCTGGTACCAATGGGAAAACCTTTTTGTAATGACCTAGGTCTCTTGCCCGATCGTTAACTTACGTATTATTCACTTTGGGAGAGCTTAAACCCATTTTTACCCTTCATAGATTTATATTGCGTTCCCCAAGATTCGAACCTTTGACCTTTCCCTTTAGAATAAATTAAGTTAAATATTGGTATCAATAGACAGCTTTTTTGTAACGATCCATGCCTCGTGTCAGATCATTAATTTACATATTGTCCGCTCTAGGAAAGCCTGAACCCATCTTACCTCTCATAGATTTCTATCGCATCCTGAGATTTAAAACTTTGACATTTCCCTTACGAATGACTTAAGTTGAGTCCTGATACCAATTGGACAACTTATCCCAAGATTCGTATTGAGATTTTTTGTACTGTTGGATGATTGTAGTTCCTCTGGCATAACAAGATTGCACTAATTACAATTGAACAAAAGATTTGTAGCTTTGCAATGTTACATTTGCAGAATTTGGTGGAAGAAGTATTTGGCTAATAAAGTTTTCAATTAGGAACTTGGGATGATAATTAAGGTTGATAGATTTTCTTTACACAATAGACTTGAACAATTTTATAACTTATTCTCAAGTGGAATGTTACAAAAATATTTTTTGTTTACAATACTGCAAGTGCACAGATCGTTAACAAGTAGTAAAATGAATTTTTGAGTCCAAACACTATACTCATAGAGATTGTAATGGTTCAAGTTCAAATTAACTTAGATGAGAATTTATGATTTTTATAACTAGATTGTGATCAACTAATATATCTATGAATGCAAGAACTAAATTAACTAACATCAATGTAAGATTGTAATTATGCAAGTTTCATGAAAATAAGATGAAAAATGCATTAGGATTTCGAATTCATCTTATATCAATCCCATTTAACCTCGAATTTTTCAATTTGATAACAGATTTAATTATTAAGATCAATATTCCTAAATTATTTGATAATTTGTAGCGTATAATTAAACCTAGGCTATCGCCCGTCTAAACCTAGGTGATTGTCCAGGCCAAAAAATTGAGTTTTGCTAATGAACTTGAGGGTCTAGTGATCGCCCAGGCCAAAGAACTGGGCAGTCACCCAGTTCAAGCGAATTTTAGTATTTTTATCATAACTTTCTCTCCCAATATCAGATTTAGGTAATTCAATTTTTTTTTTTCGAATGGGTAACTCAAAAGGCTACAATTCTTCTTGAAATATCAAAATTTTCAATTCAAATGTTTACTATACCAAAAATGGGTCTAAACCTAAGGCAAAAAATATGGAGCATTGCTTGTTTGACTTTCACTATAATTTATTCCTTTTGACTTTCAATTCCATCCCATTGATCATATGTGATCTTGAATAATCAATTAGTGTTCTGAATCAACTATTTGATATTTTCACATTGATCTCCGAATTTTAGATTTCCTCTATTTTTCTTCCGTTCTTTTCTTATTGTTTAGAAACAAGTCCAACATTGAAATAAAAGAAAATCAACATAAGTTAAG